AAATAAAAAGAGCAAACTGGTTTTGCACCCTGCAAAAACACAGCCTTCTCCTGCTGAAGCCAATTCACAGAAAACACTGCATCAAATACATTAAGGAGGCTGACAAAAACTATTTTGTACAGATGAAAGGTGGGTCTAGCAGTCTGTCTTTGATTTTTTGACTCAAAGCATGCATTTAAATTGAAAAAAACCCCCACATTTTCCTTTGAGCTTACACTTTAATATTTCCTGCCTTACAAAAAAAAAAAAAATGAATGGAATTAATAAATGTGGCAATATGAGGAATTCAGATATTGATGCTTTTCTCTGCAAGAAATACAGACACATGACAAAGCACAAATAGAGGCACAAGTTAAACCTTGGAGAGGTGATACCAGCCTGCTTCCTGCTTCTGATAACTGGAATGCAGGAAGGAACTGCTCTGTTACACAGGTTGCACTTTTCAGGGACTTTTACCCTGGACTCTGGTTGCTTGCTTGGAATAGACTTGCCAGCATTTTGCATAACTTTGTAGTGGATATGGACTGATGACTTTCAGGACATGATGCAAAATGCAGTTGCTATTTCTGCAGGCTATTGGAGATCAGGAAAGATGGAGTGATGGCTGTTGTTGGATGTGATAAGACATCTCCTGTTTATCTTTCTGGCTACTTTTTTTCTGATTATGAAGATAGCAGAAAAATTGTTAATTTAATGTGCATCTGGAACAGCTAGAGGCAAGGGCTTTCCCCAGCAGTGTTAATACAGGTAACAAAATGAAAAATATCAGGACTATGATGCATCACACAAAAATAAAAACCATTTGATGTGCTGCAGGTCTGATAATTCAATCCAAACTTTCAACTTTACCTACAGACACCTTTGTTTAAGTCACCATTCCAGAAATTAAATGGGTGAGAGGACTGATAATTGACTTTAACTCTCTTCCTCCATGAGCTGCCTAGAGTGGCCTGGTAGCCAAATTGCTTGTAAGACTGTGTAGTTGTGAGAGCTGTCGCAGTCGGTTGCAAGACTTTAATTTAATCTCAGTTCTGGCCAGATAACTAATGGGAAGTGATCAACCAGTTAAAGATGTTTAATCATATGGAATACTTTGAAGTTATTTGTAGCTATGTGGCACTGGGCTTCCTACCCTGGCACTTAGCTCTCCAAATATGCTCATTATCCAAATCACCAGACTACAGCAGATGGATAAAACTGCCCAGTGCCCAGCAACGACTCTGAAAAGCAACCTAGTCAAAGCCATCTGCTTTTGATCATTTTGGTTAGGACTGGGTTACTTAAATTCTCTTGCTACATTGCCTGGTTTCAGAATTATGTGAGGTGGAATATATGAGTGGTGACACTTACTCCAAAATAAAACATATTCTGCTCTAACCCTCAAAACAGCTCCAGGGGTGCAAGCAAGTGTACATGCATATACAAATACATTATATGAAACTGCTCTACAAGAGATCCATGGTCACCTGCCTCTTCCTCTTTCCACTGCTCCCATTTTGGTAGATATTTACCTGCTGAACATTACCTTGAGACTTACCTTCTGAAACAGAAGCACCTTCCCTCTGATATTGCTGTTCCAGTCCACATCCACCTTAAACAATGCAGCTACAGCAGTTCCTTAAAATATTACCCCCTACCTCCCTAAAAGATGGATAGAAGGCTTCTGCTGTTCAGAGAGACACTACTAATATTTTCTTGTATCACACAGCAAAAGCCCTACACCAAATCTGCACAATGGTGGACACAATTTTAAATAATCTCTCTGTGTTTTTACCTGCTGTCAGTCAGCTGTTCAGCAGCACAGAGATCTGCACCACGCTCAGAGGTGTTAGCTCTCCCCAGTAGAATTGTGGTGACTTGGCACCCTTTTCTACTTTCTCCAAATCAATTCTTCAGAAAACAAACAGATGATTCAATGAGAACACCAAACCACATCCTGAGACTATTTGACCTGGTAATTAGCAAGCAACTCTTTGAGGAGTGATGGAAATACTTGTTTTCAAGAGTAAGGGATAAACCTCCATTCTGGTTAGTGAACAAAAAGGAAGTTGACAAATAAGATGCTATTAAGAAAAGGTTAAGGTAAGGTCTTCCTATGGAGAATTGAACTAGGAGCAAGCTTGAGATTTGAACAAAAAGTGATGTGGGAAAAGAAAAAGTAATATACAGAGAAGATTTATTATAGTGTTATTTTAAATTCCTTCCACGCATGGAAAAATGTGGAGACTTCTTCCCAAGGATAAAAAGGCTATACCCAGGAACCATCAATGAAGAACAGAAAAATGCTTAAGGAGTTATAAGTGTATAAAAGCCAAGTCAAAAGGATTTAGCATGTGTGGTCCTTATGGATTTTAAAATACAAGATCACAGAAAACATGTCATTGCAACTTAGGGAATCTTATCTTCAAATGCCCTCCTTCCCCATCCACAAATTTCACAAAGTACATGCCTGCATTTTTGGCTAAACCCTTTAAAAACGTACAACACAGCCTTTCCAAGTCCCACAGAAAAATTCCAAATGTTGTGCTGCAGCTGAATGCAGAGCTTCCATTTAACTCTGCATTGTGGACTCCTCATCCCCCATAGGGAGTTTAATATATGGTTTCAATTCCAAACCAGCATCACTTTAGGGACACCTTCTGCCTTTATTAATGCAGCCCAAGAGATGATACCCCAATCTATTGAAAACAGCTTTAATAAAAAACAGAGTATTTTCAATAAAAAACTAAACAATTAATTGGACACTTTTAAAAACAGATATATTGTACCCTCATCATAGGGTGTTAGTGCCTTGATTTTGAAACTGATAAATAGGGTGTCCTTATATTCTTTAACCATCCTCCAGGGAAAGCAGTTTTTAAAGTGTAAAATTGCTCAGGCACAAATATTTATCACAGATTCAATAAGATTTTATGTGCCTTGTAACTACAATATTACATGTTTTATGCTCCTTCAATCTTTGCTTTAGACTACATACAGTTTATTCAGTAGAGATAATTTCACAACCAGTGGAGATCTGTAAACAATATTTTGTTATAGCCCCATGAATACTAGCTGCCATTATTTCCCCTGTAGCTTCAGCGAATCTTTATTCTTCCTGAACACACATTGTTCATGTTCAAAAAATGCCTGATACAAAAGGCATAATTATCTTCATTTTATGGGATTTGTCATGTTTATACAGTTTTCAGTCCATTAGAGGCTAGCCACCATTATAATTTTTAAGTACCTGGCTAGTTCATATCATTCAGTAGGCGTTGCTTTGTAGAACAGAACATTTTGTCCTTTAAAAATATAGCACAATGTCACAAAACCCAGCATAAAGATAGGCTCCATCCTGCCCCTTTGATATAAAGGCAGTTAATAGAGGTATTAAATATAGCAGCTTTATGTGTACAGCCAATTTACTCCATGCAAATCAGTGCAAATCACTCATTGTCTGGGAAGCATGGCTTGAGTACCTCTGTAGCTGTTGAAGTTAGGATTCCCAGATCCAGGCTCCAGTCCTGGCTGGAGCAGAGGAGTTTTACATTCACCCCAATGAGGCTGTGGCTGTCTGAAAAGAGAAGTGTGGCACTAAGCAACCACTACTGGACTACTCCTTTCTCTCTCTGTGTCAACATGAAGGAGGAGCTGGAAATGTCAATTTGACTGCAAAATGAAAGCAGTGCAGTCAGGGCAGTGGGGTAGGGGAATGAGACGTGCTGAAGTAGCCATCCTTCTGGCTGTTCAGCACAGGCTAACATGGACACATTCACCACCCCGACAGGGGAACTGCTACATCCCTTCCAGCACAGGTGGGTGGGGAAATGGTTGCCTGTATTGCTGCATGAGAGAAGGCTGATACTTGACATTGCCCAATTGCCATTTCTTCCATTCTTTTTCCTTGGAGTTTTATGCCTTTGTCAAAGCTGTATTTCTCCTTTTGGATCCTTGGACCTACTATCTCTTTCTTTCATCTTACATATCATTTAGCTCATGGACTTTATCATATCTTAATGACAATTAGTGAAATCAGGCAAGGTCACGCAGCTGCGCTGCTCCACATGGAGCCTTGGATAAGCCAGCTGAAACCTAGACCAAGGGTTGGAGAGGCTGCTTGTTTTACCCATGCAAACTCCATCAACATTATCTGTGCTCTGGCAATAGCTATGTTAGCTTCCAGCTTCTGCTCCCTTCCCCACTCTCATGGCTCCTGTGCTGCTTCAGCAGCCAGCTAGACAGAGCTCTCCCCTACTCTGGTTAGGAACAGAGGTATTTTCAGTTCAAACGACCTTTGTTTTATAACAAGGCAATAGCAAGTAGCATTTGCTTAGGTGAAGGTATCTTAACTGCCTCTGACAGGCTGTGCTGAGCAGATCATAAATAGCCTGCCACAGCCAAAGGCACCATCTCTGTCTGACAAAGAGGCAGGGCACAAGCCACGCCAAGGCTGGGGCAGGCAAGGTATTACCCTGCTGCTGATGGAAGCAAAGCAGGAGCATGGCCTTGATGAGTGTACAGAGCTTGCTACAGAGCTGCAGAGCATCCCTGCTCTGGTAGTGCACATGGCAGCTTCAGGGTCCTGCTCCCAGCCTCATAGCAAGAGATTTTTCCTTAATGTGTGCTTGACTTTCTAAGGAGCAAGTGTGGCTTTGGAACAGTGGTCAGCATGTCTGGGTAGCAGGGTGCCCTGACACAGCAATCTGCAACTTGTTTAAACATCCTACAGAGACATTCTGCATTATTATTGAAAAATATGGCATATTCAGGGTATTTCTAAAATAATTTGGAGACATTAATTCCCTTGCAAAGCATCCATTAACTGCAGGCTATTATAATAAATAAGTGGCATAATTATCAGACTAATTGTCCAAAAAGCTAAAACAGTAATTTTAATGACTATTTCTGCTGCTGTCTTAACCATCCTGCTCTGTCCGAAAGCCCAACAGCATCACAGCTCCCTGGCAGAGGCGACCCCCACAGTTCCTTTTACTTTGGGGCTTTTTCCCCAGGCCTACCTTCTCAGCACACCTTTCCCCTTTGCACATGTCTGTCCTACGTGCTGCAGCAGCGCTTGTCCACCGTCAATAACGCAGCAGCTGCAGCCAGTGCATTTTTTCCTGTGACCTTCTGCTGTTTCCCACATGTCACAGTCTGTTCTCCCTGGCTCTGCCTTCCTCAGCAGAGGGAAGAGGAGGCATTTCAAGCCAAAGAAAACTCATGGTGTGGCTGTCCTGTAATCTGAGATGGGTAGAAATAACAAGCAATATTTCTCACCCTATTTTTATGGCTGTAGTCACCAGGCACTTCAGTTGCTATCTTGGGGTATGCTACTCAAAGAAGCGGTATTGAATGACTCAGGGGATAATGATTTTGTATTGCCAAGTGATCCAGCACTATGACAAACAAAGCACTTCCATCTTCTGTGGTATTCGATTATCAGCTTCTTCCAAGTGTGCCCAGCAGGGCCATATTAACTTGTAAAGAAAAGATGGTAAGATTTTCAAATTTACAGGGAGTTGGACAACCCAGTGGCTGGGAAAAGGAACAGAGGGAAACAAAATGTAGAAGTGTCCTGGTGAAAGACTTGGCAACATGCCATAGCCACAGGAAAGTAGAGGAGACGGGGAAGAGGAACAGGTTTTAAATTGAAAGGGTCACAAAGCTACAGATATCCTGGATTTTTCATAAGATGTTGTCACTTGGTAAAGAAGATTGATGCTCCTAAAGTTCTTAGACAAATGTTTTTGAGGAGAAAGTGAGTGAGAGGTTAGACTGGCTAACCTCAAGAGGTCCCTTCCCTCAGCACTTCTGTGGTTTAAAGAGCTGGATCACAAAGGACCAGAGACCTTTAGTCATACACAGGTATCTGAGAGAAGGATGAGGACAGATGTGGCACAGGATGGAGAACAAACAAGAAAGTAATGGATAGTTTTCCAACCAAAAAACTGAAAAGTAAAACCAGAGCAGACATGGAAGCTTTTGGCAACTTTCCTTTCTTCCTGTTTCCAGAGGCAAGTCTACAGGCAACCTTTTATGTTATTTATTTAAGGATAACAAAATACTCTTGAATTGTCAAGAGATGAGCAATTCTAGAGGTATTCAGCTTCCTGTCTGTTGTCAGGTGGAGAGGATTGCTCACCTTCCTCCTCCCTACTAAAATTATTCATTAAGCTCCTGGTGACTTCACTGAAAAGTACTCTCAGCTTTCAAACACTTGAAAATCTCCATCCTTCAATACGCTGGAAAATTTAAGGTACAAGGAGGCAAAAAAACTACAGAAAGGAACTTTTTGAGTTTAGAAAATGTGGGGTGTTTTTCAAAGAAAATATAAGCAGAAAAAAGAGGATTTCTTTCCTGTTGGGGAAAAAAAAAAAATCTCAAATCTGTCTGTCCATCCATTACTTTTTCTTCTTGTCTTAAAAGCAGCCTTCCCTACCATCCATGCACACATGGAATGAGCACTTTATATGAATATCAGGTCAGGATCCAGTAGATAAATCCACACAAAATAGTAATTTTCTGTTGGATAGGTTCTGTGGGAAATTTTGGTATTTTTCAAACACTTTAGCAAGACAGGAAGAAAACACCAAAAGACTGCCCCAGCAGCCTTCATCCATGCCATCTAGTCCATCTATTCCAGCTACAGAGGTGACTCCACAGTTGACAGGTCAGGAACATTTTAGCTCATTGAGTCTTCTATTGGGCCAAAAGCAAACGGGATTGGAAAAGCAGATGAGATTACTGATCCATCAAATTCAATTCTCTGCAAGCCTGAGGAGCTGAGCCTTGATAGCTCCTGTGTATGATGCCTTTTTCAGACCTGAAGGAAGCTAGACACATCCTACACACACTGACTGGCATGGCAGCAAATGGAGATCTTATGATGGTTTTGAAGGGAAGGAAAAATGCAATGCTGATTCCCATTTCTCTTCATCTCTGATGTTCCAGAACATACACATTCACATAGCCAAGTCCTCCAGTGTATCACTGGGCAAAAAACCAAGACTGAGAGGTTTGGCAAAGCCTGTTTTCACAATTATGTTCCTCCCTCAACACAGACATGAAGATGGCCAAATTGAAACTGAAGGCTTCAGAGGTATGGCCAGGTCTAAAGAGTTGAATATATATATTAAAACAAAACCCCATAATGCGTATTATTCAAATAGGCCTCCTCAAAGGAAAAAAAAAACCCAAATCATATTGACCCTTAAAATAATTTGTTTCTGTTACTCAGAGAGAAGGAACATATTTGCACATTTTCTACTAAAAAAAAAAAAAAAAAAGCTTGCTAAAATGCAGTATAAAACTTTAGGTAACACATTGACTGTTGTCACTGGTATCTGCAGCTTGGTATAGGAATCTTCACTCTCTGCTGTCTCAACTAAGGTTTCTTAAAATTTCCCAATATAATAACTGGATTTCTTTTTAAACTCATGTTCTCAACAGAATTGGGTTCTTTTCATATTTTTGAAAAAAACATATTTTCAATGAGATAAAGCGTTTCAGCAGTGTCTCAACAGCAACAGAGGCACTGAACTAGCAGGCAAGATCACTCCCTGCCCTGCTTGTATTTTTAGCAGGTTAGATTTGGTCTGACAGCACATAATGTTGTTGTTCCCAGCTCCTTGGCTGATTGCTTGACCTGGTTTCTAACCCAAGTAACCTTCCTGTGTCTCCCTCAAGCTGAACAGCAAGGACAGTATGCTCTGTGCCATCTATGCAGACCACGTGATCCATTTTGTCAGGCTAATAAATAAATATTTAGTGCTGAGATTTAACAAGGGACTGCTCATATTTTTTTCCATATTGACCACATATGGAAAGACTACTTACTCAGAGATGTTATGAATATCACATCCATAATTTTTGTGCCATTGGGGATAAACTATCTGCTGTCACTTTTGCTAGAGGCTTGTGATACTGGTGGATTACACTGGTGATTCATCAAGTGGCATTTGGCTGCATTTGCCTTCCATTTTGCATTGAATTTTTCATCATCTTTGTTCTTCAGAGGCAGAGACTTAAATCAATGTTCTTCCTGGACTGGACATGTGAGCATCTTTGAATGAGCACAGCCTGTACATAAGACCCTAAGCATCCTCTTGTCTCTGCATGTTGGGAGCACAGGGAACTCTAATATTCTGCCTAAACTTTGGGGAATTTTTTTAGGCTGGTTTTGGTATTTTTTTCCCTTCTCCCATTTTACTGGAAGTCAGGATATTGTAGGAAAGGCTGGGGATGGAGACTGAAGCTAAGATGACAAATAGCAGTGAGTTGGGATAGATGAGAGGAGCGACTGGCAAGGCAGAGGATTGCTGTATCTTTTGTAGATAAGGTAAATAGAAGCAGCATCAAAACTGTTAAGCTGCACATTATTCATTTTTATATGCTGCTAGAGCCCTTCTCATCACCTTCCATACTTTTAATACCTTCTGGTAATGTGATAGCTCCTGATCACTCCCTTAACCTCTGCAGACCAGAAAAA